CTCCGTGCCCCGCCCGGCTCTCCCTGCGGCCCGAGGCGACGCCCCGCCCCGCCCCGCCCCGCCCTCCGCCGCGCCGGGAAGAAGCGGGCGGCGGGGCCCCGGAGGCCGCTCCGGTCCAGGCAGCGGCGGAAGGAGCTCTCCGGCCCTGGGCCCCGCCGCCGCCGCCGCCAACGCCGTGGGGCGGAAGATGCCCCCGAGAGGGGCGGCCCCGCAAGCGGCCGGCGCAATCCCGACAGGATCTCCGAGGGCGGCCCCGCGTGGAGCGCACGGCAGTGGCCCAGCCGGGAAGCGGGCGAGGGCGCGATGGAGGGGGCAGGGCTGCGGGTCCGGCCAAGGGGGACCCGCGCAAAGGCGGCCGCTGCTCCTGCTCTGGCTCCGGGAGAGACCGGCGGCCCCCTGCTGTGGCCCGGGGGGGGGCGGAGGCCTTCGGCTGGGGCCAACACCGGGATGGGGAGCCCGCCCTGGGCGGCTGGAAAGTGCAGCTGGATGCTGTCCGCCTCCGTCCATGCCCGCCCTGGGCTCTCCCAGCCAGGCGGGGAGGGGGGCCCAAGAGACCAGAGCCCCCCCCCCGCAGGCCCCTAGATCTACCTCCCAACACAATGGGGACGTGCGCGCACACACACACACACGTACCCCGGAGCCAGCCCAGCCCGGTGGGCTGAACCTCCCGAGGGGGTGGGGTGGGGGCTTCCCTTCCTCCAGCGCAAGCAGCCTTCTTTCCCTCCAGGGGCCGCCTTGCCCAGGGTCTTCTGAGACCGAAGGGGGGGGGACCCCAGAGGGACCGTCACCTACTAGGGCAGGCAGGCGTATTCCCTCCCTCACACGGAAGAGCCTCTGTCCCGCTTCTGGCCTTCCCCACTTCAGTGGGGTCACCTCCCCCTCCAGGCCAGCCCCTGCAGGAAACGGGATTCTGGACCAAAGGTGGCTGGAGGCTGAGAAAGAAGAGCAGGGTAGCTCCCGGAGCTTGTCAGCTGGAGCGCGGACAGCCTGGGTTCGAGATCCAAGTGGTGCACGATGGGGCGAGCTTCCGTTCCTGGCCCCAGCGCCTGCTCACCTAGCAGTTCGAATGCATGCAAATGTGAGTAGGTAAACAGGTACCACTTCGGTGGGAAGGTAACCGCATTCCGTGTCTCGGCGTACAGTCATGCTGGCTGCATGACCACAGAAATGCCTTTGGATAAGGCTGGCTCCCTCGCTAAGAAATGGAAAGGAGCACTGCCCCCCCCCCCAGGAGTGGACGGGGGACAGGGCAAAGCTTTACCTTTAGTGTGGAAGAGGCGTTAAGCAAAGACCAATGGACTGGTTTTCTTCTTAAAGACTAATGTTGGAATTGACAAGGAGGCCAATTTTAGTCTGAAGTGAAAATGCAGCAACACCACCACCACCACCACCAAACTGACTGACTGGGATCTGGTGCCTAATAATCAATTGCCTGGGAATGGCTACCTTCCCAACCTGCATTCCCATTTTGCCACTGTGGAGGTAATGCTCTCACACGTACAACGGACAACAGAAGGATTTTCTTCCTGGCATCTTTACCAACAACTACGTGTACAACACAGGATAATGCTGGTCCAAAAATATTCCGGAAAACATGGGGAAAGGGAGTCATTGAGAAAAATGAAAGAGAAGTCTCTTTGTGAAAGAGTTCATGCGGAGAGGTCGCTATTATCAAATCTCTCCTGGTCATACACTTCAGACACAACCTTCCTGCCCGCAAACCAGCGCCCGTTCAGTGCCTGGATGGCTTTATGAGTCTCTGAGGCCATGGAGAATTCCACAAAGATCTTGACGATGATCTCGGCGTCTTCCTCCTCGCCTTGCTTCTCTTGATAGATGATGACTCGGTTGACAGCCCCAAATTTGCCACACTCCTCCGTTACTTCTCCTTCCAAGTCGTCATCAATGTCCTTGGGGTCCACCATGTTCCGCAAAACCATCACTGTTGACTGTGGTGAAGAAAAAAGCAGGGAAAGGTCACCTCCCAGGACTCGAGGCGTTCAAGGGAGCCGCCTTCCGCCCAGCCTTGTTTTGTTCCCTCCATCACCGAGATGGGAGGCGGTCCACCACTCTTCCATGACGGGCTCAGTTTGGAGGCCAATCCCAGGCAGCCCTTCCACCGGCACCGCTGGAGGACTCACCTCTTGTTTCCGGAGAAGCTTCTGCATCACCATGTGGCGGGCGCAGCTGCCAGAGATGCTCATGTGCTCCTGTTCACTGAGCATCTCCGGCCTTTCAGATTCTTGGAAAACCTCCTCCTCCTCCTTCTCCTTCTTGGCTTCTAGCAGGCCTAGCGTTGGGGGACTAGCCAAGATGGGGTTCACCACACCCACCTGGGGAATAGTGACAGGAATAGGTGGGCGAGCTGGTGTGACACCTGGAGGAAAAACACACACGTGAAAAGGACTAGTCACCCATGTGCCCTCGTGCTCCACTCCCAAAGCCAAACAGAATTTTATCCACGGCATCTCAAGCAAGGATGGTAATCCCACCAGGTCAACCCAAATTTAGAGAAACGGGCAGTCTCTCAACTCACAACACGCACAGCAGCCAACCGCATCTGTGGCAGACAGTTGTATCAACAAGGAGTGAAAATCTCAGGAAGACGCTCAATACACCCCCCCCCCCAAGGCTCAGGTGACTCTCTCTGTCCTTCCGCTCCACAGAAAGAGGAAGGAAAGACCAGTGGTCCTCCAGCCACGACTGTGATGGAGCCTGCCTGTTAACAGTCATAAGTCGTAAAACGGGTCAGTCACACCATTGACCTGATTTTATGACTTTTTGAAGCAGTTATGAAACAAATCTATTGCTCACTGTGATGCGATTTTGCTGAAAACCGGAAGCGGGCAAAACTCTCGTAAAATGCACAGTCATGTGACCACAGCACCGTGCAAATGCCCACCAAGGCAGCTCTGTTGCTGAGCACCCAAAAGGCAGTCAGGTAATTGCGCAAGGGGGGGGGGGAAATAACCAACGGAACTCAGGTATTCCAGCTGCCAGGCCACTCACCCGTGATGACTCCTGGCGCCTGAGCTGCCATCACAGCCTGCGGTAAGGCCCCCAGGGGCTGCGCTAGGGTCAGGGCTGGGGTCACCAGTCCAGGGGTGGCTAACGTGCTAAGGACGGCGGCACCCGCCACCCCTGCCACGGCTTCCTACAAGAGAAAAGCCAGCTCTGCTACGGCCCCTGCAGCCACGGGGCTCCTTCTGCACCCCAAGGTCGCACCAGAGGAAGCCCACAGCCGGGAGGCCCCCCCTCAGGGAGAAGCCCCGCTGGTCTGGTGGAGGCTGTGCTGGGGGCTCGTCCTCTGGCGGTATAAACAGCCATCGCCTCCCCTGGGCCCACTAGAGCGGGAGGGGCCTCTCGGGCCAGTGTTCGCCTTTGCCTGCCTGATGGTTTCGTTGCCCAGCCCCAGAGACACCAGCCGGGCTTCAGCCGGGGCAGCAGAGGGCGGAGGGACAGGCGCTCCGCACAGGAGCCTGCAGAGCAGCCGCACAAACTGAGCCCCCGGTCCCCTCCCGCTCCCTGATGCGGAGGGCGGAAGGGATGTGGGCTGCTCTCTGCCCTCAGACGTGGTGCTGATGCTGCTGCTGCTGGTCAAGGGGAGGGGCACGGCAGGAAGGGCAATCCGGCCGCGAGGGCTACCGCCTCCCCTTGGATCAAGCCCTCTCCCCCAACTCCGCTTCCCGGGTCTTGCTTCTTACCTGAGCGGTGATTTTTGCCGTGGCAGCAGCTGCGGCTACGGCTGCTGCAGGGGGCAGGCCTCCCGGGGTGGCTGGGGTCAGCAGAGGCATGGGTGGGGTGACCGCTTTGCCCACACGGAGATACTGGCCCCCCAGGTCAAAGAGGTTCATGGAAGAGACGGCGTCCTGCGAGGACTGGGCCTTCTCGTATTCTGAACGAGCAGAAAGAGCAACATGGAGAACTGAGCGTCGGCTCTGGGCCCCCGGCAGTGGGGCAGCTGGCCCCAGGGCTTACCAATGAAGCCGTAGCCCTTGTGCTTCCCCGTGGTGGGATCCCGGGCCAGCGTGCAGGACTTGATCTTCCCAAAGGCCTCAAAGACACTCTTGATGTCATCGTCAGAAAGATCCTGGTGCACCGACGCCACGTAAATGCGGTTGAAGGCGCGAGCCTCCTCCGCCAGCTGGTCGATGATGGGCTGCGCTTGGCCAATATTGCTGGGCCTCCCCACCTGCAGGAAGACAATCCGTGAGGGCCTCTGGGCCGCACCAGGCCCCTAGAGCACCACCTTCTCAATCGCCTGCCAAGGGGGCACTTGGCCTAGTCAACATGTTCAGCTAAAAGGGGGGGGGACACTAGCCTGTTCTACAAACCTAACATTCTATAAACCGTGATTCAGCAAACTGGGTTAACAAATGTTCCCACATCCAGAGTTACTCATTAGGCCTACACCCTGTCTTTTTTTCTTGCCGCCAATTTTATTCCCAAGGCAACCCCGTGGGGAAGGCTGGGAAGAGGACGTGTCAGCGGCCAGCAAGGTGAACCTGGACCTCCTCGTTCCCAGCCCAGCGCCTCCATCTCACAAACCCTGGCGTGCCAGAGGAGGGAGCAGGGGAACCTGGCCTGCTGCTTAGACTCTTGCGTTAAGCCAGTCACTGCACTGAGTTCCAATTCGTTTTTGCCACTGGGCCCACCGCCTCACGGGAACACAGCAAGGAAGTTTCGTTAACCTGGCTTTGTGCCACGAAGCGAATTGCAAGCGCCAGGCAGGCAGGCAGGCAGACCAGCCGTCCTCCACCACTATGGGGAGGAGAAGCCTTCGCCGTTCAGGGGCCCCCGGTGGCCTTGGGCAAAGCCCTTGGCCTGTTTCTAAAGAAGCCCCGATGCACCCCTGCAGAAACCTCAGCCCTGCTGGTAGGCCCTGGGGCAGGCAGGTGGCACGGCTCTCCCCTTTTACCGGACGCAGAGACACTGCTGGCCCCCAAGCCCCCCCTCGGCCTGCCTCACGTACCTTGATGTTCCGCCCTCCGAGCATCACTGAGTTCATCTGCTCCAGGGCCAGCTGAGCAGCTTCAGGGACCTCATATTCCACAAAAGCAAAGCCCTGGCCGAGCAGAAAAGGGGGCTTAAAGCTCACGCACTCCTCCCGCCCCACAGCCCCCCCATTTCCCCCCAGTCCCTGTCCCAGTCCCCCTCACCTTATGCTTCATGGTCACGGAATCCCAGGACATGTCGATGCTCTTGATGGGCCCAAAGGGGGCAAAGGCCTGCCGTATGGTGTCCTCTCCCAGCTCATAGTAAATGGAGCCCACGTAGACCCGGCACATGATGGCCAGGGCCCGTTGCCGCTGCGCTGCCATCTGTATCGGAGAGAAGGTCTGGCTGGTCAGAGCAGGAGGGAAGCTCGGGCCCAGCAGCTCTCCCGGGCCCCCCTCCCCAGGAGCAGCAGGAGGCTCCCCGAGGGGGAGCTAGCCCAGCCCACCCTTGCCCTCCCCTCTGCCGCCCCACAGGGCCCTTCCCTTCCCCACGATTCTGCCCCCACACAGCAAGAGATCCAGATTGGGCAGCTCGTCTCTGTCTTCCCCTGAAATATCCCCCACCACCCCAGGACGCTGCCTCTCCCTCTCGGCAGGCGCCTGTGGGAACAAACAACGGTCACAATGCCAACAACTTTCTCCCACTGCCAGGCCAGCTGGGGCAAGGAACCGTCTGACACTGTCCCAAGGATGTACAGTAGCAGAAGGTCCACGCTGACGTATTTCCTCTGCCAAAAGTCTAGCCAAGCTACAACCCAGATTCACCACCACGGTTCAGTGGCCGGGCAGCGGCTCCCCTGCCTGGCAGCGCAGCCGGGCCCAGGACAAGCAGCTGGAGCTGTTCTCTGGAGCTGGAAAAAAACAAAAACCAAGGCTACTCCTGTCCTCCTTAGACGCTGGGGATACTGGCTGGCTGTCCGTCAGAGCCAAGATCACCTTGGGGGCTTTGCAGCAGGCCCTCAACACTTCTCATGACTGCGGGGGGTGGGGGGGCTATAAGGCTAGGAAACCTCAGTTCTCCCTGCTCCTTCTCTGGGGCACGCCTGCCACTCGGTCCCTCCCCAACCCTGGGGAGAACTGCTGCGTTGGGCAGATGCCAGGCCAGGCCTCCGATCTCAGCCTCCCTTCCAAACAAGGCACGGAGAGGCGGGGAAGGAGCGGCCCCTCCCCGTTCCTCCCCAGAGAGATGAGGGGCTCTCTGCAGGCAGAGGCTCTCTGCTGCCCATCAGGACAGCCAGCGCCACTGGACAAACTCAACGAAGGGCACGCACTCCCAGCGTTCAGGAGCCAGCAGAGCAAAGAGTTAGGGAGAGGGGAAACGGGCATCTAGAATGAAGCCCATGGGGGCTGCCTGGCTATTTGGCCTACCTGCTTCCCCTCCCCCCCAACCCAGCAAGCTGGCTGCCCATCCAACATCCCAGAACCAGATCCAGACTGAGCGGCTGTTCTGAGGTGGGCACCCAGTCCTGCTTCCCTTCCACCTGCCCCACAGAAACTAAGCTAAACCCGTCCTTCTGGTCCCAGCTCAGACTCAGAGTACCTGGGTGGCCTAACCCCGGAGGCTGCTCCGTTGAGCCGGACTCTTCAACAGCTCCGAGAGGATCAGCCTAGGCCAACCTGTCTGCCCGATACACAGCAGGAGCTGGGGCCCTCCGAAGGATCCACCACCACATTAAGGTGGACCTCTGGCTCCTGCCCAGCTGCGCCACGTGGCTGGCATTCAGGCGGAAGGGAGGGGCACCTGTCTCCCCAGGAGAAGGCTTGGCCTGCCGCTTGCTGGCTTGCCTTCGTATGCTGGCCCGTGCCAAGGCTGTAAAAGCAAGGGACCTGTGCCCTGGCAGCTAGGCCCCGCGGCCACCATCTTTCTGCCCCAGTACCAGCCAGCATCCCCTTCCTAGCACCCTTCCACTTGTCTGGGAGAGCCGGCCGAGCCCCAGCCTCCGGCCACCAGCCTCTAGCATTTCAAGCTGGCCCCCTGGTAAGTTACCTTGGCAGTTACTTTGAGGCCAGGACCTCAGCATCCCTAGAAAGGCAGTTCTCCCGCTGCTTGAGACTAATGCTTCCTTCCTTTCTCACTCTCTCTCTCTGTCTCTCTCTCTGCCCAGTACCTCCAGGGATCCCAGCTGCCCCCAGCTCAAGGTCTTCCACTGGGGAGCTTATACTTGGCCTTGGCTGGTTGGGGGGGGGGAGTAATATCCAGAGCAGGGGACTGGCGGGAGAGGGAGGCCACAGCTACGTCCTCCCCCAGGCTAGGCCCTGACTAAGACCAAGTGCCCAGAAGAAGTGAATGTGTCTATTGACCGATTGCAAAGGTGAGAGAGGATCTCCAAAGCCCATTGTCACTGCTGCCATCTGAAAGACAGTAAAGACAGAGTTCAGTCTGTGGGAGCTGAGCACACCACGGGGTTTGTCAAAACTCAAGTGGGAGAAAGAGGCCTCGCCTGCCTGCCTACTGCCTCCTCCTCCTCCTCCTCCTCGCTGAACACCCCCGGCCGACCCTGGGCAGCCGAGGCAGGGAGGTCCAGGACAGTCTTTAGCCCTCAGCAGACAACTAGCTATAGGGACAGCCCCCCACACACATACACCCGCAGCAGCCAGAGCTGCCCCAAGCCGCCCCACCCTGCAACTCCTCAGGAAGAGGGGCTCAGACAGCAGCTAGCAGCCCCCCTCCCGCTGCCCTGCAAGACCACAGACCCTCCCTGCTCCTCCCTGCCTGTGTGAGGCTGATTGCTGCCTCCCACGCCAGCTTCTCTCTCTCTCTCTCTCTCTCTCTCACTCTCTCTCTCTCTCTCTCTCGCACACACACACACACACACACACACTTTCTCTCTCTCTCTCTCTCTCTCTCTCTCTCTCTCTCTCTCTCTCTCCAGGCAGCTAAGCTTCCCTCCGCAGGCGGCAGTGTCTAGGCCTGGACGTCATGGCAAGCCGAAGGCAGCACTCCAGGCAGATCTCAGGATTGGCAGTGGCTCTAAGTGCATAAGGGGCTGCCCTGGGGAGGGGGGAGGAGAGGGGGAGGGGAGGGCACGTCAAAGGCAAGGGCGTCCTGGCAGGGCCTCACCTGGAGGTTGGTGAGCTGCTGCTGCTGGTGGGCAATCGTCTGCTTCACCAAGACGCTTTTGATGCTCTGCTCCATCGCGTATTTTTTGGCCTGGGAGGAGGGAGAGGGGAGAAACCAAAGTCACAGAGACCAGCAGCTGGCAAACCTCCAGCTCGAAGCACCCTCCCTGGTCACACGCACCCGCCTCCCTCCGTCAGCCCCCCCCCATTAGGCCAGGGGGACCGTTTTCTATTATGTCGTAAAATACCTTACAATAATTTTATGTCATAAAATGTTTTATAAAATTTGCCAAATTTCAATTCCATGGGAGTTATGGGTCCCACTTCTTGGACCCATTCTGTTAAGTTAGCCTTGGTTCAAAAATGATTGTCCTATCAAGATCACATGAAGTATTAGTACCGCTTTATAAAACCCTAGGGAGGCCACACCTAGAATACTGCAACCAATTTTGGTCACCATACTACAAAAAGGATGTTGAGACTTTGGAAAAAGTTCAGAGAAGAGCAACTAAGATGATCCAAGGCCTGGAGACTAAAACATAGGAAGAACGGCTGGAGGACTTGGGTTTGGCCAGTCTAAAGAAAAGAAGAAATAGGGGAGACATAGCAGAGTTCCAGTATTTGAGGGGCTGCCACAAAGATGAGGGCGTCAAACTATTCCCCAAAGCACCAGAGGGCAAGACAAGAAAAATGGTT